TCTGCTTAATTACATCCCTGTTCTGCAAATTGCTTAGAGATTAAATCCAAAGGAAGCCACTAAATTTAAGTCCCCGTTGAAGCGCAGAGGCTGGATCAGGGCCACGGCAGGGACACGCTGTGTTTGCAAACCCGCTCAGCCGTGAGATGTTGCAAAGGCAGCCCACGGCCCTGGGTGGGAAGATCCCACCCACCTCTAAATGGCCGGCACGCAGAGGGCTAAGCCCGTGCCGGGGTCTGCAGGGTCACGGCGGGACTGTGGCTCGGACCCTTTGCCAGCTTGTTCAGCATACACCTGCGCCGTGCTGCAGCCTGCCGTGGAGAAATACCCGGTGCCTGGCCTTGTGGCAGAGCCCAGGAGCCGATGTGGAGGGTGACAGGCCAGTGTCCAGGCAGAGATCCCGGGTATGGGGGTCCCTGTCGGACCAGCGGGATGATTTTGAGGAAAAGAAGGCAGCGAGAAGGCAGGGCAGGATCCTGCTGCCTGCTCCCCGGCAGCCGGCGTGGGTGGTGGGAGGCTGCGTGCAGGCAGCCGCGCTGCCCGCGCAAAGGGGTGTTTGCAGGAGCAGTTTGCATGCGGAAGGCTGACACGTTTACCTGCAGCGTTACACAGCCCGTACAAATGAGGTCCATCAAAACGTGTTTTCTCTTCAGCTGCTGTAAACGCTGTATTTCAATTGCCAGCCAATTCATTTTCTGTCTTTCTAGCCAGTTGTCCCTTTCCTTCTACTCGGCTGATCTAAAATCCAGACCGAATCATAATCCACATTGCTCTAAAAGAATACAGTACAAAATGACGGGCTCGGGGCCTTATCTTGCGTTCATCAGCCCCTCTCCCCCCACCCTCTGCCCTCCTCCGTCTGCCTGGTCCTTTCAGACAGCAGCCCCATGGGGCAGGGGTCCCCTTGGCCCCCGGCGCACGAAGGTCTTTTTGTCTGGGTTTCCATTCAGAGGCTTAGCGGCTACGGTGAAAGTCCATCAAGTCACGGTGTCTGACTAAAGCTTTGGACTTGCTATTAAATTAGGTATTAAGGATGACAGAGATATTTGCTTGTAACCAAGTTTTTGGATGTGTGCTTGCTGAGTAATGCGGGTTCATAGTTTGAGCCCAGTCCTGTGGGTTCTGGCTCATGTGAATTTCCAAGACCAGGCTCAGAATTTTGCAGGGGGCGGGGGTGAGAAATAGGTACCAGATGATGCTGCCTGAACAGGAGCCATTTGTAGGGACGTGCATCCCATGCCGAGGCGTCTGTGCTGTCTGCTGGGCTTTGCTGGTCGCTCTGATGGTCACCTGCCAGGTGACATCCCCGGCACACCGGACCATTGCTCCTTCGGGTCTGCAGCCCTCGGGAGGTGCGGAAGGGCAGGAGAGTCTTGCTGGGTGCTTGGTGTTTGGTTTCCTCTGTAAGGAAATGAGTGGTGGGGTTTTTACAACTATTTCTCTATTCATTTTTGGGAAAGTTTTGTGTGTTGAATATCTTCTTACAAAGCAGGTAGGAATGGAGATAAAAATGTAAAAATGTATCTGCAAGGGTATTCTGTAACCTTGGAAGCCCATCTCTTTACTAGTTTTCCTCAGACCTCTAATGACAATTAAAAAAGCATCAGTCAATCAATTGGAACAAAATCCAGGCAAAAATTCTCAGCCAGCTGCTTGAATTAATTACAAGGCAAGTTTCTTTATGAGAAATAAACCTCTTCTATTATAGCACAGCTATGGGGCATTTTAAATTTCTCCATTGCAGGATGTGTTTTGGCCAGAATCTGATCTCTTTCTAAAAGGCGTGTTTAATTCGGTTGATGCCAGAATCAAAAATCTGAGTGGAGTCAGGATTTGTGTTGTGTACTGGAGCCTGGTTTGGGTGCCCCTGGATGCAAATGAACAGGTCTTTTTTTCTGATTTCAAAATTTGATGAATAGATGCCTTTTAGTCAGCAACTTCCAGCGAACAGAGATGTATGTTTGAAGTCTGTGAAGACTGGAAGTCTCTGGAGATTTTCTTTTTTTTTTTTTTTTTTTTAGAAAAACGGAATCCAGGGTTGTTTTTTTTTTTTTCCCCTTTTGAAGTTTTGGGAAACTGGAAGTTTTTTGGGATTTTTTTTTTTTTTTTTTTTTTTAGAAAAACAGCATCCAAGGTTGTTTTTTTTTTTTTCCCCTCATACATTTCTGGGAGGAAAAAGGTTTTAAAGTGCATCTCCTTCTGGATTCCAGGCTGGTTGCTTTGTCCTGTCTGGAAAGAGCACTGAAGTGTTGAAGCTGTTCTATCGTTGTAGCAGGTTGCAGCACATTCTCCACTGCCTTACCAACAGTGCAGGGCAGCCCGGTGGTGTTGGGGTCCCCTTAGTCCCCCCCTACCTTCCCCACAACCCCATGGCACAGGGGGCTGTGCACATCAGGGACAAGAAACCTTCCCTTTCCATGAGCCCTTGCTGTTAGTTCATGCAAAGGGCATTTACGTGCTGTTTGGGAGTGGAAAATCAGCTTTGCTAAAGCATCAAACCGGGACCTTACAGGTCAGAGATGAGTTTCTCACTCTGACGTCCCCCAGTTTACCCCAGGGGCCCTTCACGATTTTGGGGGACTCCCTGGTCCTGAGGACGCTGCGAGGAGAAGTGAGTTGCGTGGCTGCTCACGCGCTGGAGAAGCCGGTAGCTTTAATCTGGCTGCTTGGGAATGTGTCCCCATGCAAACCCTGCGGTGGGGGGTGTTTCGGGTGATGTGCTGGCCCGAAGGGGCTTGTGTTCCTCGGAAGGGGGGAAAGCGTGATGGTGTTTAGTCAGCTGGATCGTGGGATTCCTCTTCTCACGTTATGGCAGGTGGGATCTGTCAAGGTGCAGCCTGCTGGGGTGCCTCAAAAATCACATCTGTGCAGCTGCTCTGCCACAGTCAAAGCAGCCAAGAGTTTATATATGAATAATGACAATTACATGCCCCTCGGGATGCTGGTTTCGCTCGGTGATGGCAGAGCTGCCAGCTTAAATTGTTCACCATGCCCCGGAGGTAGCAGTTAGGCGAGTGTCTTGGGGTGGGGTGGGGGATTACAGGGGAGAGAGGGTGCGGATGGAAATAACCACAGCCTGTCCTTTGGGGTACAACTCACCGTTGTGTTATCTGCAACTCTGCTTCATACTCTGGGATGACTTTTGTTGTGTGGGATGCTTCCTATCCTATGGGGGTTTTTGTCCTAGTCGTTCTCCCATAGTTTCATGAGATTGCTGTGTCCTTACTGGAGGTGAGGATGGAAAGGATGTAATAATAAAAGCATCTTATGGTGGTGTCTCCTTACCTGAACTGATTTCCATGGACCCAGGGACCTGCAGTCCTGATTCACAGTGTTGCTACTCCTGTAGCACAGTACTTTCGGGTAGACATGCTTTTGGGTCTCTCCTAGTGCCAAGATAATGCCTCACTTGTGCCAACAGGAGTTACCCTGATGACCTGAAAGGAGAATTGATGTGTTTTGTTCATCCATCCTGTGTAACGTGCTCCATCAGGAATATGGCTGTATAATTGCAGGGATTTAACTGGAGCTCACCTGTAACTGAGCCAAATGGACACCTCTAGCAATTTAAGTCCCTTCTCCAGTTACTGTCAGATAGGGAGTTTTTGTCACAATGTGCAGAGGGAGCAGGTGGTCCTCAGGTCAGCTGCAAAACTGCTTTATCCTCCACCCGTGATCACCCTTCCAGCAAGGATGCTGCTTTCACTCTGTGGGTCACATTGCTACCTGTCCTCATTGCTGTGGGGTGAGTCCTGCCACCCCATTTCATACAAACCACCCAGGGGCTGGTGGCAATCTTACGGTCTCTATCAGCTCCAGGTCCTGCCTACATCAGGGAAGATCTCTGGATCTCAGGGTTGTCAAAGCCTCTGCCCAAGCTTATTTCCACCTGTCCCAAGGGTATGTCCTTAAGACATTTTTTGGATAGCAAAAAACCATCTTTCAACCTAGCCTTTTAATAGGACCTTTGTTGCTGAGCCACCCTAACAACACAGCAGCCTTCTGCACACATGTCATGGCCTAAGCCTTCCTCCTTGGACAGGTAAATTTAGGCATCTCAGGAGACATCTAAAAAGACACAACTCCATTTTTCCCTTCCACTGGATTGAACAGAAATTACGGCTACCTCAGCTCATCAGCTTAGCTTCCAGTTAGCTGGAAGCTCCTGTTTCACTGCCTTGCTGATGTCACTAAAATAAATCAGTTAATTTGGGAAAGGGTGGCCTGTTCAGAAAAGGAGTAAATGACCTGTTACGCCCTGCTCCTAATTCTGTGTGGTTGCAATTGCAGGTCCTCATACAAAAGTGGTTCGTCGCATTTTTACCAATAGCCGGGAGCGGTGGAGACAGCAGAACGTCAACGGAGCCTTTGCAGAGCTTCGCAAGCTCATCCCCACCCACCCACCCGACAAAAAACTGAGCAAGAATGAGATTTTGCGCCTGGCTATGAAATACATCAACTTCCTGGCCAAGCTGCTCAATGACCAGGAGGAAGAAGGAAACCAAAGGGGCAAAGTGAACAAAGACTCTGGGATAGTCCAGGAAGACCTCCTGCAGGACATGTTGTCTCCTAACTCTAGCTGTGGAAGTTCTTTAGACGGAGCGGCAAGCCCGGACAGCTTCACGGAAGAGCACGAAACACTAGACTCGAAGCACACGCGGAGCCTGCACCACGCCATTCTCCCAGTAGAAGGCAACGCGCAGCGGTGATGACCTTCCGCATCGCTCCCGAAGCACTGGGTGGGGAGGTGAGACCCGAGTGTGCGGATGCTGGAACTTGTGCCCATGGGATTTGTGACTCTGCCTACCCACCCACCCGACAAAAAACTGAGCAAGAATGAGATTTTGCGCCTGGCTATGAAATACATCAACTTCCTGGCCAAGCTGCTCAATGACCAGGAGGAAGAAGGAAACCAAAGGGGCAAAGTGAACAAAGACTCTGGGATAGTCCAGGAAGACCTCCTGCAGGACATGTTGTCTCCTAACTCTAGCTGTGGAAGTTCTTTAGACGGAGCGGCAAGCCCGGACAGCTTCACGGAAGAGCACGAAACACTAGACTCGAAGCACACGCGGAGCCTGCACCACGCCATTCTCCCAGTAGAAGGCAACGCGCAGCGGTGATGACCTTCCGCATCGCTCCCGAAGCACTGGGTGGGGAGGTGAGACCCGAGTGTGCGGATGCTGGAACTTGTGCCCATGGGATTTGTGACTCTGCCTTTCCCCGGGGGCTCAGGTTCCCCGTCCTCCCCAGCCTGGGACGGAGCTGCGTTGGCCGAGGACAAGACCAAACCAGATGGACGTTCGGCACTTAGGTACGTGATCGTACAAAGAAGAAAAGCATTGAAGTAGTCTTCGTTGTACATACTGCTCATGATGTGACTCTGTGGAGGGGCAGGAGACGTGGCCAGCACCTCTCCAGCACTGAGAGGGTTTTCAGACTGTTTGACGTGACCATCGCTTTTTAAACGGTCGCCCGGCTGAGACGCGACGCTCCTCTTTCATGGCTGGCGGAGGCCACCGACACTTTCCAGCTCCGCATGGAGCTGGAGACTGCTGAAACCTGCCAGCGCCGCAGCATTTCTCCAGTCTGTGGCGTATACAACTGGTCTGAGCAGGAGCTGGGGCCACATGTTCCTGTTGTCCGAGAGCTTTTGACTGTATCTTTTTAAAGAGGTGAAAAAACACCCTCAGCAAAAGAACTATTAAAAGGATTAAGACTTTTTCTTTCTCTCCTTTTTTTTTTTTTTTTTTCCCCTCCCCCCCTTTTCTTCCTTTCCCTTCTACCTAACTTTGGATTGTTTGGGGTTGTTGTATTTATGACGTGGGATTACTTCTGTTTAACGCTGTCATGCAGTATCCACTGAACAAAAAGGTACATAGGTGTTTTCTGCTGCCCTCCCAGTCTGATTTTTCTGCTGGTAATGCTCAGTGGGTGAGCTCCAAGCCTGTTGCGTTCTCCTAGAGTTTTCCCAGCGGTTTCTGTAGGGCCAGAGCTTCTCTCAAGGAAGATGAATTTCAGAATTGGTAAGTGGGGGGAAAAAAAAAAAAATCACTAGTGAAGCATCCCCTTGGACTGGGGGATTTTTAAATTCAAAAAAGCAACAAAAAGGCAAAAGGAGTCGATGTTGCATCAACAGTGTGTGTGTAAATAGGGTTATAAAAGGGTTTTAATGGTATGCTTTTAATTTTTTGGTTTTATTGTGTGAAAATGGTGGTGGTTCAGCTGTGCCAGTGCCTGCAGGCTGGACTACAGTGCTGGATTTATTCCGGTGGTAGGAGGGTCCTCACCTGCCCGAGGCTGGTAGGAGGATGCAGCCTCTCCCAATCTTGGGGGGAAGCACTAAAAGCAGTGGTGGGATTAGCCTCCACTCCTGAGTGCTTGGATTGCTGCAAAGTTGATGCGGGTGACTGAGCTGATCCTCTGATCCCCACTGCCCCTCCCCAGGAGGGAGTTTGGGGAGCAGAAGGACTGGGGAGCAGGAGACTGCTGCTGCAGTGACTGGGAGCTGAGGGCTGCATCACGCCATCACCGCTGCATCAGGCCCATCTCTCCCCCACCGCCTGACTCCTGACGGAGCAATTGCCCCAAGCCCATCCTCTCCCCCCGCAGAGATGTCAAGGCACAGAAATCTCTCCCATGCTACAGTAAAAAAACCAAACAACCTCACCCACAAACATCCTTTGGAAGGGAAAAAGTCCTTTGAGCGGGGACAGCTTCACCGCACTTGTTCCTTTTCAAGGGTGCTGAGGTACAAGGAAACACAGAGGATTTGGTGGGCAGGTGTCTGCAAGCCCCTCCAGGCTTAATTCAGAGCCCTGCCATTTCCATCCCCACTTGATTTTAATGCCTCTTTGTAAATAATAGGTGGGAGGCTGGCGCATGGGTTGGCGTGTCAGGTGGAATTAGTTGCCTGGGAAGGGGTCCCAGCCCAAGCGAGGGTTTCTAGTGTAGACCCCAAATCCTCTGAAATCACAAACCTCCCCCATCTTAAATTGGGGAAAAGGAGGAAAACTCCTTCCCAGGTCCGGATCACCTGTGCACGAGGGTTTTTACTGAAGGGGGTTACCCACAGGGCTGGGCCAGGGGAGGGGTGCTGGTGGGTGATGGAGTGATGATGAGGAAGAGGTTTGGACTGCTCCCGGTGCCAGGGGTAGGAGGGGTGAGAGGTGGGCAGTGGGACCCTCTGGGAAGAGGGGGGGATGTTGTCACACAGGTAAAGCTGTTCTTCATTTTCGGCATTTGAAATAACCCCAGGGTGGGGTGGGTGGGAGTTTTATACCCTTTTTATTAAACTATTGCAAGAAAAAAATCGCCGACACTCAAAAATTCCTCATTCCCCACAAGTTTTGGTTTTTTTTTTTTAATCTTTTTGGTAGCTGAACAGTTGGGAAAATGGTACAACCTTGGTGGCACCCCCCCCAACACCCCCAACGCACACGCGCGCCTGCTCATAGCCCTCAGCAGAGCGCGCCATAGGTCTCCCGGGGTATGTACAGTTGTACTTTAATTGTGATTTGAATGGTACATTTCCTCTGCCCACCTCTCCTCCTGCCTGCTTCATCTCTTGCTGTGTGGACCATCGCCCCCCTTTTCTGTTGGAAACAGCAATTTGGGGCAGTGTCGTACCGTGTGAGTGAATTCCCACCTTATGATTTTTGGGTTTTTCAGACCCGTCTCTTTCTCTGCCACCCTCCCCTTGGATTTCTGCATTTTTTCTGCAGAAATGAAGTAACCAGACCTGGTACCCTGAGTCTCAACCCACTGTGGATGTGCTATTTAGAAAACACATTTGTTGTAATGTGTGTGTATATATAAATATATATATATAATGAATATATCAAGAATATTTCTAAATAAAGTTTTACAAAGCAGCCTCCACTTGCTGTCTGCCTCTCTCCCATCTCATCGCTCGGTTCCATCGCTACTTTGCTATTTCATTCCTGGGCATTGCGGGGTGAGGATGCCAGGATGGCCTGTCCCCAGCCATCGAAGTCATAAACAGGCAGCAAAAACCTTGCAAAAGGATCTGCTGATTTTTTTCTTGCTTGGCTCATGCCGTCCAGCCTGGGCTGGGCTTTTGCAGAGAGAGCAAGCGGGAGGAAGAGCGCACGGGGCCGGCAGGAAGGAAGACGGGCGGTGAAGCAATCCCCCTGCCGCAGGCGAGCGTTACCAGCTGCTGCCACGTTACCCCCAGCACATTATTTGCAGGCCCCCCCCAAAGGCTCTGCTAGTCTTTCCCCCTCTTTTGGGGAGGGGGGACAGTGTGGAGAGGGGGCTACTGGGGCCA